CCACACACACAAGCAAGCCAGACATAAATAGTGCTCCTCTGTTCCTCTATCTGTCCGTCTGTCTCTCTCTTTCCAGACAGGGAAGTCTTTCCTCACTGATTGTTTAGTAACCACTCTTTTTTCTTCATACATTTACAGTAAGACGGCAACATAATCCTTTCGTAGCAGCACACTCATAAATGACACATGTATTGTGTTTGTGTGTGCAGAGGTAAAGTCCCGGTCAGCACTCTTGTCTAAGCACTGGTATGGCTGCAGTGAAATACCCTCATCTAGGCAAACATAAAATCAATGGTAGCTATTAATTAGTCTACCTCTAACTGCCTTTGCTGATACAGATATACACACAAATAGAACAGGAGCACCTTACGCCATCGAGCTGTTTGGAGCTGGACTGGATTTTAAAGAATAGAGGCAGACTTGCACAGGAAAAAAACACAGCAAACAACATCTTGACTAAACTGGAATAGCCTCTGCAAATTATGTACACAGTTTCAAGGTTAAACTGGAAGGAAGTCACATGCTTGACAAGGAGGCTGATAAGAGTGTGGTATCTGAAATTTCACAACCTTGTTCCTGGTTATTATGAAAGTCTTTGCCATAACTGGGGAGGAGAAAAAACACACAATGCACTATGGAATATTCTCACAGGTGTCATGTTAAGCACTGCAGGTGCAGCAGTTCAGATTTCTGTGTTTTTCCAGCGCTGCTCTTTAACCGGCTCGAGTCAGAGTGGATGTGATACAACAAGTAGATCTGACCAGGTAATCTGATCAATCAACTAGATATTTAGAAGTTGATCAAATCAGCGTGACATCACTGATAATATTACTCTTACTATTTCCATGGCAACACTGTAACTTCCTGAGCTGAATCAAAAGCCAGTAGGCTACAGTAGTGATACAAAATGGATGGTCTTGCTGTAAATTTTGATTTATATGGCGGACTTCGTTTTGATGAATGGTTGGAAATGGAAACCAAACAAACAAGAGATATGTCAGAGAGCAAACAGTTCTCTGACAGCAGTGAAAAATGGTGTTTTTGAAAAGCTGAATGGTGACAAATATGGATTGAAGCACACTATGTCTTTAGATATAAACGTGCTGTGGATTTCTGACATGATTTCATCTATTTTTTTTTTTTTTCCCCAATAAATTTTGACTTTTGGACTTTACAAAACTCTGGAGTTAACCGTTAGTGGAAATGTTGGGATCACATCAGCTGTGCTGGTGAATCCATGACACAAGGCTATCTTAAAAACAAAGTACAAGTGAAGTTTGTGGACGTAGTGGCTAAATAATTTTTCAGCAGGTATCTTAGTTATAACAAAATTGAGCAAGCAACGCAGTTCTGTGTTTATACATTCGGTATTTATTCTGTTTTGGGAAATCACTCGAACTCTACAAAGCATTAATGTTAGCTCAAACTGGCTAGCTGACTCGACAGGGACTAGAAACTGTCTCTCTTTCTAGGTCATTAGGGTTGGCCTACCTGCTGGAACTGTAAACTAGGTGACTGACTGTTTTCCAGTTATTAGTCAGACCCCATTTATTTCCATGGAAATGGAGATAGAGTGAATTGCCCCAAAATATGAATACATTTTGATTATATCTAGAATTTCGTTGGTAACTTTTTATTTTTTATCGCAATATTAGTAGGTTTGCCGGTGTCCTGGCCGACATTCCTGTCACTCCACTCCGTCTCCTTGATGCTAGAGTGATGATTCTGGTTTCATATGAAACTAGAAGACCTAAGGAATCCAGTGGCACCAACAATGTCATGCATGGCCATTTCACAGAGGTGACCATTGACCTCTAGATATCTAAATGAAAATAGATACCCACAAGTCTCCCCTTTACAGACACGCCCACTTTATGCTAATCCAATGTAGTTTAGGGCAAAAACAACTCAGTTTTCTGCATGAAGTATAAATGTGACATTTCCATTTACTGTATCTGAATATTTCGGCACACTGGGGTCCCTAAATAGTTTTGAAATTATGTAAATTGGGTCTGACTGGAGAGCTGAGACTCTTGTGGATTTAATGAGTCCAATTTTGTTTGTCTGCTTTAGCCCCCATTATGTATAAAATGACGTATTGTGACCTCTAGGATAATCACAGCCTCATGAAACTTTACAACTACAAATAAGAGACCATGGGCATTCAGAGGACAGATGGCTTTCAAAGGTATATCACCAAAAAGGTGGTTTCTCAGCAGTTTCAGTGCTCGCAATCCAATCACCTTCCTTTATCTTGGTGCCTTTATCATTTCTATTAATTCTCAGGTGGTAAAAAATGCTTAAATCTAGCACCAAAAGTTGCTACCAATCCAAAAATTGCTGCAACAGCTTATGAGATATAATTGAGCATGGGAATGGCTTTCATTTATTTTCATCATAATGTTCTCAGCCCCTACACACTCACAATATTTATTACACATGTATGAGCAGAAAACCTTGGCACGCCGTGCTGAGCTGCATCTCAAATTAATCTTCAAGTTCCCAGCTTTCAGATGATGTANAGTACATAACTCCACATGTGTTCATTCATAGTTTTGATGCCTTCAGTGAGAATCTACAATGTAAATAGTCATGAAAATAAAGAAAACGCATTGAATGAGAAGGTGTGTCCAAACTTTTGGCCTGTACTGTATACCACTTCTATATCGCATATACCTGCTATCTCCCCGTAAAGATACCCTGCCCCCCCCCCCCCCCCCAAAAAAATAAGAAAAAAATGGCTATTTGTAGGTGTCAGAGGGTCAAGGAAGAACCTCCTGCCTTGATGTGCAACTAAACATTCAAAATATGTCTGCCAATGACAAGATTACGAGCTAATTGGAAGCCACTTGTACTCTACAGCTTCAACATGTCAAACTCAAACGTGTCTGATCCCTCTCTAATACTCCTAGGTGTACTATGTTAATTATTCCAAGTGGCACGCCTAATGTGGCCACCATAGAATTCTAATGGTGTTGCCATGGTAATGACGGACGGCTGGATCGTGCAATGACAGTAGTGCGTGATAAAGTTGGATAGTTTCAAGCAACTGTCTGTGAACACATTATATTGTTGCTGTGGTAATATACCAGCTCCTCAAGCCTGCAGCACTGTAACATTCCACAGCAACACGTTTCTAATACTACAGAAATCAATGCTCTGACAGCTGAACCACATTGTGAGGACAGCTCATACTGTACACAGTTAGCAAACAAAAAAATGTTCTTTTCTTTTTTATCAATTGGTCCTGCAGATACACACTCAATCAACTCTCTATCTTGCGCTGACACCTGCTCAGATTCACGCCAAATAAGAGGACAAGGGTAAGCTGTTTTCACTTTCACTACAGACGACAACAAAACAGAAATTACTTTGGTGCTTTGGTGCTTTGGTGCTTTGGTCCTCTCCCCTTGCCGATCATCAGGGCGTGAACAACTTTGTGGACACACCAAAGCTCCTTATAATTAAATTAAGTCTGGGCTTTGCCTCCTTCCCTGCTCACTAAAGAGCATTCAGAATGACAATAGCACTGTGTAAAAAACACACAAGCTTCCTCATTCATTTCAATAAGACAACTGCCTTAGCACATCAGGGGGTCCAGGCACAGAGAGCTTTGGGAAAAATTTGCAGGAAGGACAGATAAAAAGATAGTCCTGGCTTTACTTTTACCGCAATTCAAACTACACACTACACAATGCAGCCAGGATGCCAGGAGACGGTTGGCATTGTACATTTCTGCAGACCACATATACATTACATTTGTATGTTTTGTACAGATCATTATCAAATTCAAAACAGCTTTCTTGGCATGACCATATTAAAACATAGTATTACCAAAGCACATGGAATGAGGTGGTACAAACCCAGAATAGGACAGTTTTTTAAAATGCAAACAATAAAACACTACGTTAACATTACAGTGCAATATCAGCTCTTCTAAAGCTATGTAGTGTATGAGCTGACGTTATAATCGGAGAAAGAGGGGATGGTGGATGGCATGAAGCCCAGTTGAGACCAAAGATTCATGACGAGACGAGCTGAAACAGGCCATTAGTTGCAATCTGTTGTTCTTCAACAGGGGTGTTAGCGCTTTAAGTGAGCAGTAGCAGCAAGCCACCGTCAGACACCACCAGCACACCGTGAGGACGGAAACAGAGGGCTTGACCGGGACAGAGCACCTGCTGCAGCAAGCGAACACACCGTCTGCGGTCATTTTGACTTGACTTAAAGCTGACTGGCTACTGAAAAAAGTGACCTACTTTACATTTTAAAACCAGACAACGGTGATTTTAAAAAGCAGGGGACACCATCAACCGGCTTGAGTTGAACTCAGACGGGCAGTTCACACCGCTGCAACTTATCTCTGCAACGTTCTAAAACAGTTTCATCTCACCGCGAATCACTAGTCTGAAGTGGGCTTAAGCGGGATGCCTGCCAAGCTGCAGACCACTATTGACCACTGTTCGAGACCACCAAACAACAAAGTGAGTTCAGCGAGTCACTGCAGCATTTCCAGCAGCTTTTTAGCCACCAAATGTGGGTGTTTTGTAGGGACCAATTGCTGTGCTTCCACCAAACTGCCATGAAAAGTGGTTATTTTTTACTGAAACATCATAAAGTGTCCTGCCGGGATAGTGCCACGAAAAGTGGTTATTTTTTACTGAAACATTTCTGTATTTCCACTGGGAATAGTGCTACGAAAAGCACTAGTTTTTAATGAGCTATCTGTGTTTTTAGCTGGGATTGTGCCACAAAAAAATTGGTATCTTAAGCCAAAACATGATCTTTTCCTAACCATAACCAAGTGGCCATTGTCTATCTCACAGCATTATGCTAATGTGATGTTTCAAAACTAAGATGGTAGAAACAATAGTTGCTGCCGTTATAACTCTGAATGAACAACTAAAAAGTAAGGACTGCAGAAACAGTTTCAGGTGAGCTTCACAGGTGAAAGCTTCAAGACAGGGCTGAAACAGTCGAGGTGGTGTGCAAAGACTCACCTTGTTCTGGTCGGTCCAATACAAGAAGTAACCTTTGGGGTCGACCGTTAGAGTCACCGGGGTCACAGTGGTAGAATCCTGGAGGAAAACAAAGCAAAAGACATCTGGAGTCAATGTGTGCGTCTGCTTACGTCTGTGTATCTCTGTCTGAGTCTGTGTTTTTACAAGAGCACATGCTTTTGTGTGTATGGCAGAATATTCTCTGGGTAAACCAATTAATTCAGTTCTCAGGATCAAAGCCTGGTTCTTGTAATACCACATGCATTCCAGAATCTGAAATGACATTAAAAGTGATGGTAATGTCGTAAGCATGCCCACAACCATTTCCTTCTAGGGTACTTTCTGCGCCGTGAACTGGCATCACCACAAATGACCAAGAAGCCTGGTGAGTGTGTGTGTGTGTGTGTGTGTGTGTGTGTGTTCGTTTGAGATGGCTGCAATCATGAGTTGCAGGTTGTTTCACAGTTGATGTTTCCATTTCTCCCCTCTTGTAACAGACAAATGCTTTCCCACAATTCCCACATACAGGCGACTGCAAGCCTCACACGCACACTCACAGTTTGACCCTGAGGCATACATGGCAACGCCAGATATTATTGGATGCTTCTATAAAAAGAAAGGGCCTTTGCTTTTTTTTCTGTGTCCACAGTGGCTCCGGTTCAGCACAACAGTAGCATATTGTCCTCCTCAATCAGCCATGGCTGCGAGATCAGAGAGATGGAAACCGCATTTGCTGCACAGAGCAAGAAAATCTTCAAAGTGTCTTCATGAAGCGTCTAATGATGTCCCTATCACTGCATTGGGAGACACAGCTAATGGTCTGCATCTGCTGCGCGCTTGTCATGTTTGGGTGTGACCCTGTGTGACTTGCAGTGTTGGATGTCATGAATCTGTGTTGAGGTGTGGCCAACTGTTAGTATGCTCAAATCACTTCTGTCTAAATAAGACAATCACAGTTTATGGCGCACCTTAAATCAAGCCGTTTATGAGCCCATGTTGAGACTGAAAAAGAGGGAAGGAAAAAAAAGAGGGAAGTGATCGCAAAATAAACAAGCGATCATTTTATGCTGTAAATGGTAAGCTGGCGCATCAGGGCCGTTTGGGATAGCGACGTTTGCTATGGCAACCCACCATTCCCGTGAAATCTATTAGAGACTCAAGAGGAATCGTTTTGGTTCTGTTCACATGATTGCACAATCTTTGCAGGCTTGACTGAATGACAAAAGACGCAGCTCATACCACCAAACGCATGCAGCATACTCACACACAGAACTTCCAGCCTGAGGGCGAGAAAAAAAAGCCTCACGTTCGCAGTTCTTGGATGTAGCATCTCATACTGACTGCAGCCCCGTATCTCTGATCTCCACTCCAGTTACAATCCAATTTCTTTAATTTAGATTTGAAAGATTAATATCTCTTTCACATCCTCAATGAAGCCATCAGCTACTCCTAGAAAACTCTATGAAATGATAATGAGTTGGAGTAATCAGTAATTTTACAGTAGGCTGTTTATATTTCCAGTCAAGAATTCACTCAGTGGGCAAGATGTGGCGATTGATGGCTCATGTGATGTCAGAGGGAAAGACACGAGATGGCTTGAGAGCACTGGGAACCTGCCTAATGATGCGAGAGAAGTCATTTTCACCAGCGTCTTCCTTAATGTCCCAACTCTCCATGGCCACCACTACAAACACATTAAGCCATTATGGACTCTCAGCAAAGATTTCCTCATGGGTTTGCACATTTACAAAAAACACAAGTACTTATAACAACGTGGATTTTAGCTGCGAGTGCTTTGCTGAGATTACTACTTCCAGAGTGGTGCTGCTCACGCCTTTATTGTCATTTGACTGTTTCTGAGGATTTGTCATTAATGGGAAGACATTAGGTAACAGCAGCAGTATCCTTTTTTCTGAATTAAGATGAGATTAGTGACTGACTTGCAAAAGTACAAACACCCTGAGGGAACTGATCCAAAAGCAGGAGACAGGAGTGCATATTTTCTAAGTGAAAGGTTTGTTCCAATAGCTATCACCTGAGGGGGTGTGTTAGAGAGGAGCGCGGCACACTTCTGTTTTGTATGCTAATGACATATTCTCCTACTTTTAAGGGATTTTGGGCTTCCCTGTGGAGCACGATGATATCTTATTCAACACTCAGCAGACCAAAAGAGCCTGATACAAACGTAAGCTTATAAAAATCTCTGTTTACAAGGACCCAGCATCATTTTGGCAGCCGCTGTCACTGATCTCCAAGAAGAAAGGTCCCTTCTCTAAAGGCTTTGGATGTCGACATCCACTGGTGCTGAATATGCCATTTGAACTGCCTTACAAATAATGACACAATCCAGGCAGTGTTTTAAGCCACAACCAGGCATTTCGTGAGCCAGCTGTCTGCAAGCAGCAGCAGCAGCAGCAGCAAAAATACAAGGTGTGTACGTGCACGTCTGTGTGAGGCAGGTTAGGGAGGTCTGGGACTTCGAGGATGTCACAAACATTTCGAGAGGTTTTCTGATTGCTGCTCTATTCTTCTTTTTTTTCTTTTTTCAACATTCAACAACCGGGCACTGTGTGCTGAAGTCTGCAGTGCTTCAGACAGTCTGCTGTGGAGGACTCGTGGCTGTTGTTCATACAGTACAGTATGCCATCCTTACACAGTAAACACAACTCAACACATTTTCTGCCTCCACAGAGTGTTCAGCAGTGAGACAAAATCTGTAATTTTCACTGAAACTAAAAAAAAATCCCGTCTGCTCTTACACATTCAAATATTGGAATTGCTTGTACAATTTCCTGTTGAGGGAGGTTAGAGTGGAGCCCAACATCCAAAGCCAAGATAAGAAGAAAATGATTTAATTCAATCCTTTTTTTCTTACTGGCAATGAATTATAGCTTTATCTCTCTCTGTCTGTTGCGGTATTCCTCTGTGATTCTTTCCATGAAATGATACGGAGAGGAAAGAGGAAGGAAGGAGTGCATGGGAAATGAAACACAGAAAGTATCTGTGCATACGAGTGTGTTTGTTCGAGGGTGTGTGTTTTCACAGGAAAGGCCTGTTGGGCATTTGGTTCTGGAGATAGGCCCACATGTACAACTACAGTACACAAACACGGCTGTTAGGGGAAACAGACTCACCCCCCCACCCCCCCCAACACACACACACACACACACACACACACACACACACCCCTCTCACAACATACCAGCGAAGAAGTCGAAAGGGTGAGCACTCATTAGTAGTTAAGGAAATACTCAAGTTCTCTTATCTGAGCGTCAGATTGATGATTGACAGAGCAGTGGGTTTGCAAGTGCGCATAATTTTCTCTTGGCCATCTGTACTGACCACATTCACACTCTCATAACACTCATTCACTAATGCCATCTGGGCCGTGCTTGAATCACCTGAGCTCAGGGAACATGACTATTTCACTGTGTATCTGCGAGGATGATCTCATTAAGTTATATCTCAAAATGTCACACAACAACACAGCTCATTAATGCCTCTGCTAATGTGACTGGTAGTGTCTAGTGTTGCGTTGTGTTTTGATAAAAAGAACAGGATGTCTTTGGAGATGATCTACGTTTAGTCTGATAAAAGATGTAAATAACAAAATCCCCTATTAATTGTCAACTGTGTAACTTGAGTACCTCTCCCATGAATTCAACAGCAAAAAGGGTGAAGCATGTTGAATTCAGTACATTAAATTACAACACAACAAACCTGATAGAAGAGATTTAAGGGAAAAATTTTGTTCCGAAGTTGTGTAATTGCCTAGAGTTGGTTCGTGTTCTCACGGCAGCATTTACAAGCGGACCAGATCAAATGGCTTGCACGAGAAAGCTGCTCTTGATTGGTCAGAATTTCCATGTGGGAAAAATCCAGGAAGTAAAGCAAACGTTGAAGAAGAGTACACTTGCAAGATAAATGTGACACTTTCTAATGTCACAATGGAGGGACAACTAAGCAGGTTGATTTTAGCGCTGCTCATCGTGGACTATATTGCTGTCATTGTTCATTTTAGTCAAACCATACAGTTTGAAAACGAGGCGCGGCTCCAACTAGAAAACAATGTTTTGATGCATTGGATGTGCTGAATGTGCATATTAAGGCAGTACAGGAGGAGGTGCACATTAATAATCCTCCAGGACTGTAACATGCTCATGTTTAACCCAAACAATGTGTCATGTGACTGCAGTTGCTTTACATCCAGGTCGGAACACCTTCTCACCACAAACCAACCGCAGACTGAGACCACCTCTTCAGGAAGGTCTCAGTCCGTTTGTTTTGGTGCACACCTGAATATGATTGCTGTGTTCACACCTGCCCAAATGAACCGCACTTAGGGGGCAAACTAACTTGAGTTTGATTGAACCGAACAGAACTGGGCAGGTGTGAAAGCAAGTAAAGAAAGTAAATTTTTGGTGCACAATTGCCAGTAAGGATGGCATTGCAGCTTGTTTCGCTGCTGCAGCTGGAGCGGTCTCTTTTAAAACTCGAACAATGTCAAAAAATGTTGTCTCCATTAGTCACTTAAACACAGAAACATGGAAAAATAGGGTCCAAGTTCAAAAATATCTAAGTTTCTCTTTAACGACAAAATCCTTCGAGAGTTGTCAGACACAGTAATGTCTTAACATACTACACAATAAGATAAAGCTGGCAGGTAAACTTAGAAATGTAGTTTACGTAATACACCAGAAAGGTGGAAATATCTATGACCACAATGTTGCATGCTTCTCCTGTTGAGTACAACTGCATAAGGGCGGGAGGTGTAATGTATATGTGGGATTCACAGAAGTAATGTAAGTAAAGGTGTGGACTCGAGTCACATGACTTGGATTTATGTCAGTATCAAGTCACAAATTTCGATGACTTTAGACTCGACTTGACAAAATCAAAAAAGGCTTGCAACTCGTCTTGGATTTCATTGACTCGTGACTTCACTTGGACCTGAGCCTTTTGACTTGAGAACACCTGAAACCATCCAGCAAGCCTTAAGATTTAAAAGAAAGTCATTTGAAAAGTGTGCAACAAATTAATTCAACTCCTGAGTCAGCTCACGTCCAAGCTTTTCAATCCCACTAAGTCGACACCTGATACCCCAGATCCACTTTGTTTGAACTAATCCAAGACCATCCAATCAAGGCGCAAGACAGAACGATTAAGAACTAGCATTGCATTACATTACGTTAAAAATTATACCAAAGATAATTTCCCTCATGTACAAAAACTGTGCGGTGGTCAACAATAAAACGAACTCCAGTATCTAAAACATGCAGGTCAAAAATTTAAAAATACAAAACAACTTCCAACAAACTGTTGATACAAATTTTATAAAGCATTACATCATTACTCTGTTGTTAAAATGGCATTACATTTGGTGATGAGCGCATTATGACTTGTTTAGGACTCAAAGCCTAAAGTTTAGGACTTGGGACTTGCTTGTTGACAATGAGTTGGTCCCACCACTGACAGTAGGGTAAAGAAACTGAGTCTCAAATGTTCAACATATTGACACTGGAGGCCTAAAACACCAAGTAAAAGCTTTTGATACAGCTTTGGTGTAATTATAATACTACACATTACTAATGGATATTTACTCTGTTACACTAGTCTACCTGTATGCTTTACATCTGATGTGATCTTCAATGAGATTCACTGTTTTCACATGAGATAATAACTGCAGTTACCTCATTCAACAACAGCTCCAGGTGTACACATCACTTTGCATATTCAGCGAGGGAAAAACAGCAGCCCCTTTCCCTGAATGACAGAAATCATGACCGTGCTCATATTCAAATGGTCACACCATAAAGATGCATGGAGGTTTGGAGAAACCAGAAGAATGCGTGATGCTATTCAAATGAGATGTGCTGCGGAGAGATGTGAAACAAATATCACAGAAAGTCCCCCTGTCAGAGCACATAGAGCTATTATGGTGACAGCACAGGAGATTGAGTTAAACACCATAAGGTCAGCTGAAATTTAATTTGAAGTGCAACAGCTATAGGTTAATTCTGGATTATTATTATTATCATCAGAGGGACGTGTTGATTTGTTGTTTGGGGAGGTGCAGTGCGCCATAGCGGTCCGTTAAGAGGCTACTACTGTTGTGTTTTCACCGGCTACTCACCAGCAGCGTGTAATCAATTTTAATCAAGGTCATCTCACTACAGCTAGACAGTCTATACTACAGACGAATGACAACAAAACAAAAAAGACACGATCGTTATTCAACTCTCGCCTGTTGGTTACACTGTCTGCGATCCGCGTGTTTAACCCATTAATTGTGGTTAATTGATAAAAACGTTTCCAGTGCAGGGGGAGGGGCGAGCTTAATCCAAATATTTAATCTTATTTAATGAGCACATTCTCACACACACACACTCATGCCCTGTCACACACACTGGCGCGCACACACATATTGTAAATCGGGCAATGTAAACAAAGCACATGTCAGTAGCCACAACATCTGCTGCATTTCTTTAGACATTTAAAGCAGCAAGCCAAATGCGGGCAGTGCGGTCTCCTCTGACAGTTCAATCTATTGGCTACTGTTGCACGAGCAGCCTATAGATTGTGTAATGCATCCATGGTGCATGCAAATAAAGCGTGCAGAAAACATCCGCCAGTGCAGAAAATAAATGAAAGACTCACTGCCGGTGTCTCTCGCCATTACTTACATCATCCCATTTCATAAATTTGTTGCCCCTTTTGAGGCTCTCGGGCACGGACACTGGCTTGAGCTGCAGCGCATGAACTCCAGGCTGTGCCCCTGCCATTGACTCATCTACTCTTCTCGACGCACGGCAGGGGTAGAAAATGAGTCACTTCACTCTCTTCTACTCTTATTCCTCTTCTTCTCCTTCTGTAATCTGCTTAAAAGCGGGCTGACGGAAGCCCACTACAGCTGCCAGTATGTCATGCCCGCATTGGCGGCGGCGATGGCGCGTCTCGGCTTTTGGAGAGCTGTGGAGGCGGACGCAGGCGCAGCGAACCGGGGCCACTAACTGACTGACTGAGCGACATGCAGCTAAAGCATAAGAGAGGAGGAGAGGAGAGAGAGAGAGAGGCAGAGAGAAAGAAGGTGGGGGATATCTGAATAAGTTGCACGTCTGGTTTTAAATTGTACAAGTCAATGCAGGGACGAGATCGATGCTTGAAGTGATCTGGCGCCTCCGTGCGTCCGAGGCAAGACGGTGGTAGTAAGTGGCCCCAAGCTCTGAGCACATGAGAAGGCAGGGGTGTAAAAAACTCGGAGTGGCAATATACTCAAAGCAGGTGTGTGAAACAGCCGCGTTTGGTTATTGCTGGTTTGGGAAATTATTATTTATGCATTCTATAACACTGCAAGGTGTCATTCTTTCCTTGGGAGGTGAACAATATAATTTTGTTTGGGAGCTGTTATGGAAAAATCACCATGCTACACCCAGGCTGCAAACACAGACAATGCAGACAGTGTGGCTGGTATTTGTGACATACAGATATACAATGATGATTGCTGGGTAATATATGTTGATGTTGTCCAATGTCCAGCGTGTACAGTGCCCATCATAATAACCTTATACCACTATGCTACCCATCATTTCAACTGCTTATCCGAAGCTAGGTCGCCAGGGCAGCAAGCTGAGCAAAGTATTCCAGACGTCCTACTCCCAAGCAATGCTTTCCAGCTCCTCCTGGGGGACCCTGAGGCGTTCCCAGGCCAGATGAGAAATATAATCCCTCCAGTGTGTTCTGGGACTGCCTTGTGGCCACCTACCAGTGGGATGTGCCCAAACACCTCTAACGGGAGGATCCTGATCAGATGACCGAACCACCTCAACTGACCCCTTTTAACGCGAAGGAGCATTGGCTCTACTCCAAGCTCCCCTCGTATGTCCAAGCTCCTTACCCTAACTCTAAGGCTGAGCCCAGACACCTCACGGAGGAAACTCATTTCGGCTGCATGTATCCGCAACCTCATTCTATCACTCACTACCCAGAGCTCATGACCACAAGTGAGGGTTCGGACGTAGATGGACCAGTAAATCGTCGTGGTGAACAGAGCTGAAGCCACCCTCACTTGTTATTTATGAAATGCACAGTAGGTGGACAGGATTAGAAATATGTCATCATGACTTATCGTTTGGGTGCAGAAGACCCTGAGTCCCCTGTGTTGGGATTTTCGGGCTGATTCGGATCATTTCTTAGACTCACCATCTTTACAGTGGGCAGTTTTTAGGCAAATACTAACACTAATATTATGTGTGTATACTGTTTATATTTGGTGCCTTGGCTGTGACGTCGACACTCCCAAAAACATATGTTCCTAAATACACCCAAGCGGTTAAACACCATCAGACGTTTACCACAGTGTTGAAACATAAAGAAACGTCAAGTTTCAACATATCCACGACTTAGTAACGTACAAATGTTATATATCTGCAGTTTGCAGAAACTTACGATAAAGTACTACAAGGATGATAGCTTTTTGTAGGCTGGCGTGGAAGTTATCGTCGCCCGAGTTCCCTTTGGATTTTGGATTATTTCGAAAATAAGCCCTATTGCAAACTATACACATTTTGTTCAGCAAGATAATCTTCACAAATGAACACCACTTTTATGATTTTTGAAGCCTAAATGCAGTCGCCGGAAGTAAAAAGCCAACGTTAGGCTACAAATGAACTACACCACCGTTGCAAGACTAAGGTCGCAACCACAAGAAGGCTGTTAAGCTCTGTTCTGCATCATGACATTCTGTAGTCTTATTGAGCCACTTGTTAGCAACCATCCTTTTAAAGACACATAAAAACTTCAAAATTCATGAGTTGGGTATATATTGATGTGTTTTCTGTCGTAGAACAAAATGTGAAAGTCTCTTAAGCTCATGTTAACCACAGACCTTATTTCAGGCATCTAACCACCACTGACTTAAAGATAAGGGAAGTGGGTGTGCTAAAATGCGAACTCATTCCTTGGTTTTATGACTCATTCCTATACCACCCTATGGCAACATTTATTTGGCGAATGGATGGCAGGTGGATGCAGGTTGAAGGTGGAGGCAGTGCTTTTGAAATGCTATATTATCAGCTGCAGCAGTGAGAAGTGACAACATAGTTTTCAAGTAAGCGTGTGTCAGTAGGAGCAGAGCACTGACAGCTTAAATACACTGCCACAATCAAAAGCATGCGTTTGATGTTGCAGCGAGAGGAGTCGCTGACAGGATTTGATTAAAATAAAATAAAAGGATTTAATATGTTTCCAACAGAATTGTATTCTTGCGTTGGAATATTTGAGAAGGCTTTGAAATATTCAGGCTGTCACATTGAGTTAAATTTACATAATGAAATTGTTGAGTGGTCAAAAAATACATGCACACAAGTCAAACATTTCTTCTGGGTGAGGGGAAATTTGCAAGCACGACCTCTTCCTAAAATGCTGGCTGTGTTTCTTGCATCATGTTGATGTGAGCTATTGTCATCAGAAGTCAAGTAAGATCTATTATTGTCATGACTGTACAAAGGATAACAGGTGCAAGTTTAATTTAAGAAGTCAGTCCACACCCATCAGCTAGAATGGACACTCATTTCTGTTTCAGTGCACACACATGGCTGTGGGCTTTCTTACTTCTTCATGACTAAACTTCTTCAAAGTTCTGTGAGTCAAGAGTGCGTCACCCCCGCTAGGACTTAACTTTCTTATTAAATAAAACATAAAGCCCCTCTGGGCTTTGTACCACCCACACTGTTTATTTTCTGCCATTTCCAAAAAGGGACTACAGACTATTGGAGTCCTCTGAGCAGTTTTCCCCCCGTGTCTCGCTGTGGTCACTCACTGGCCGGCCCTGGCCTGCAGACATGTCAAACTAGTCAAAGCCGTCAAAGTCTGACTGGCATTTTTCATGTCAGTCGTAACTGTAGTTTGTTTGAGTTTGCCTCCTGTCGTTAATGATTGATTAACAGTGACAGTTTGGGGACCGGGCCCTGAGTACAGTCATAGTTGGGTGACAGCTCAGGAGACTGAGAGAGGGACACAAGTGTGGGACAGAAGAAAGATACAAAGACATGAGAGAAACATGAACTCTCATAATTCAAGACAATATTTTATGAATTCCAAAGTAGAAGTGCTTGTTTTAGTAAAAACAACAAATGCACAAAATACAGTCATACCAAGGCGGGGACACAAATGTTTTTATACCGCAAATGAGTCATTGTTATTCTCCATGCCTCAGACTTTGGTATCCGTCATCCGTCTTCTTATCAGCCCTGAGGTTCCAACTAACTCTAAAATCAGCTACAGCAATCTCGCATGAAAGACAAAGGCCTACAGAAAGGGAAATTATTGGATTGTCGCTGTATATAAAGTACTCAGACCCACAAATTTCCTTTTTCGGACAAACACTGAGCTTTTAAAATTAAGTTACTCATGTTGTCAGCAGTGTTTCTTTCTTTCCTTTTTGTTGAAACAAATAAAACGTAGCAACAGAAAACGCAATCAGTGATGCATCAGAAAGACTGAAGGCAGAGATTAGAAGTAAAAAGGCACTGATACATAATTAAGTGTGCCTCTGTCAGATGACCCAAAACTCTGCACGCATCATGATTTGTGTTTAATGAAGTTCTTGGACATGTGGCAGCAGTTGGTGGAGGAGATCAATTTTATCTTTTGGAACCACAACTTGTCCTCTGGAAGTGATGGTAGAGATTTATTTAATTTCCTAAAGAACAGCTCCTTCTTAAACTGACTTCCTCCACTGCAGAGCCAGATTAACCACTTAGGGGGCCAGGGGGCAACAATGAGCTGAGGGGCCCTTGTTGAGCCTCATCAGACACTTGTTCCTCCAAAGTATTGTCCCAGAAAGGTTAAGGGTATAAACTACATTCCATCACAGCATATTAACATTTCTACAGTGGCGTAGTTCAGATTACATATGAGCCGACTTTGTCACTGGGAGGTGAAGGGGATGGTGGATGGTGTGAAACCTAAGCGCGACTGCTGACAAGCAGCAGACCACTGTTCAATACTAACAAATAAGAAAACAGGGTGAATTTCAGCAAACATTGAGGAATTTCCAGCTTCAGTTATGGTGACGTATCCATGTAAAGCCAAAACAAGATATTTTCTTGACCATTAACAAGTGTTTTTTATGCCTAAACATAACCAAATGTTAACCACAGCATTTTTTAAAGTAAAAAAAACTTAAGTTTCAACATATCTGCTACATATGAAATGTACAAATGTTACATTTCCATGGTTTGCAGAAATGTACAATGCTGACATTTATTAGTAAGTAAGTAAATTTTATTTATATAGCACTTCTCACAGAGAGGGCTTCACAAGATAAAATACAAAAAATACAATAACAGAAACAATGCAAAATACACAAAAACAAATAAAAAGTATTATTCTAGAGATAGGGATGATAAGACGAAATCTGGCATGTAGGCCGGTTGCCATTATACTTTAATGGTGTTTCGCACCGTCAAAGGGACATGCGGTAGGACAAGAACGAAAGTAAAGGCGGCAAAAGTCCAACAAGGGCGGGCTGGAGTGGTGTTGGATGGGTCCAACAAACACCGACTTTCACCCGAGCGGTGTTCCCATCCCGTAAGATTACAAAGCCAAACCCTGTTCTTTTTGCCTAAACTTAACCAGATGCATAAGTTGTTGGAGGAAAAGAAAACGTCAGTTGGCGTTTATGTACTGACATAGTGCATTTATTTTGAAGGGGACTGTGTGTAAACAGTAAATTCCCTGTGAAACGGAAAAAGAAGACAATTTTGAAAGAAGACAATGCACGTAACAGGCAGAACTTAACCAGTGTCTCAGAACGTCAACAACCAACGCACCCAGGGTACCTTGCACATCGTATGTGGATGTGGAGGGTCCATGACCAAATGTCGATATGTGACGAGGTCAGAGTGAAAATGTGTTGACAGGACAGGACCTCAAGGTTGTTCAGAAATGCAGGAACTGCCAAGGGGTCCTCACCATGTCAGTTTTTGATTGTAATTACCTTACAGTAATTGCCAGACAC